ATATATATATCTGTGTGTGTGTGTGTGAAAAAGCCCAAGGGCTGATATATTAATGATAAAGATATAAATAGGTTTGTATGGGTGGGCCTAAACACCCAACCCACACGGTACAACACACACCAAAAAATGTAAAAGATGGGTGCATATAGAAATAAAAAGAAACCCAAAAACCACCCGGGCGCTGAAAAAGTGTGGGTCATCCCAATCTAGTCTTGCCTCTGGCTCTAGTTCTCGGTAGTGATGCAGCTAGCAGATTGATAAGGTGCTGACCATTACCAGTAGTAACCAAAGTATCATCCATAAGACTCTTGAGCTCTAGTAGATCTCCATTCTTCTTCTTCCTCCTGGAAGTGTAAACCTGTCATTCCTCCTCTAAAGAATCCGCCTGATGGGGTAGAGCTGAACCAGAAGGAACAGTAGTACCCACAATAGGTTCTACAATATGATAAGTGTGAGTTACCGTTACACCGGTTACTTCTTGAAGAAGTGGAGTTGCGAGGTTCTCCTGATTATCAGTCTGAACACTCCCATTTATAGGTAATAATCCAGCAATATTGTTTTCCAATGGAGTCTGTAGATGTCAGCACCGCATCGCAGTAACAGTAACAACAGTGTCATGGGGGAGGGAGTCCTTAGGGGCAATAGGCACCTCTTGTCTGGTAGTATCCTTCTCAGGTGGAACTAAAATGTCCATAGGAGAGGGGTTAGACCCATCCTTATTCACTTGAACTTTAGATTTCAAATTAGGATGATGCTTGTGGCATTTAGTAAGGATATGGCCAAACATCTTACAGTGAGTATAATATGGGGGTTTGTGTTCCATGACGATTTGTTGTCAATAACCATTATGGGCTGTGCCTAACCAGACTTCAGTAACATCAGGTAAATTAATATTCTTTTTTACAAGTATTCTTGCCACCGAGGGTTTGGTTAGGTTTAAAGTAGGCAGATAGTTAGGCTGAAATTGGGCAGATCTAGTTTAAAAGGATCCCAAGGATGGCCCCAATAGAGTAGAGAACTTGATGGTGAAAAAAATGCAGCTTGAGACCAGATAAACTAAACCATACCGGTACAGTGGGAGTTTCATGATTTTGGTCGAAATTAGTAGACCACTTGAGTAACTTCATTGATTTACCTTTGATATTGAGATATTTCTTGGAGAAAATTATGGTGTAGTCTTCAGCCACTGTTAGTTGGATCAACACATGTCTTCTATCCATGAGTACCACTTTCCACTTGCCTACTAGCTTAAGATCATCAACGCTCTTTCTGATAACCTCCATAGGAGGGTGTCCCCACTGAAATTTTCTAATAAGAGTAAACTTGAATTTTTCCGTCATGGTAGAAATTTCTGTTTCAGAGAAAATATTGCATATTTTCCGACTTTCCTGCTTCCCTTTTTAATAAAAGAACAATCATTTGTACTCTCACGAGATTCCTTATAACTTGAGGGGAATCCCACTGCGGACTCTACCTGAGGGTTACCCACCACGTGAGCAAAGGAGACTTTGTTCGACCCAACCAAACAAGGAAGCGCCATCAGAGCAAGGAGAGCTGACCGAGTTAAGCTACAGCAAAGTTGCTGCGGCAGGAACAGTGAGAAGCTTCACGAGCAGAACGCAAACGCGAAGCAAATTTGAGACTCGGAGACTCTTAGAGCAAACGAACCCCGAGCGAGCGATGCCGAGCAGACTCGTCGAGCAGAGAGAAGACTCATGCTGAGTAGACTCGTCGAGCAGAGAGACAGACTTGTCAAGCAGACGCAAACGAACGTGGAGCAGCAGAACACCGACGAGGCGGGCGCGAGCCGAAGAAGCAGAAAGGTCGAGCGACAGAATCAATGGCGATCGTCATTCGAAACCCTAGCAGAGCAGTCGTCCACCATTCTATAGAAAGAAATGGAAAAAAAAAGAAGGGCTTATTCAGTTGAAGGAAGAAGAAGTTTTGACTCTCCACAGTATATATCGACCAATGCAAGGGAGAGGAAAGGTTATGGTTAGAGCTAAGGAAGAGTAGAGAAGTTGGTCGAGAGGGTTTGGGGGCTCCAAGAGGAGACTAGAGGGAGACAATGCGAAGCACTAGCTTGTGATCCTCTAAAATAGAGAATAAGAGGAGGCACAGGAGTTGAGCGTGGGAAGCTTGATTAGGAAAGCAGCATCAAGTAGTAGAAAAAGGCAAGTAATCACATCCGAATCGCGAAGGCGGTAATACCTTACCGTGAATTTCAGGTGATAACAAGGTTTGCATGATCAGAAAGGGAAAACTATGCGATTTAGGAAGCCTGTGCAGTTTGGAAAGAAGGTGGAGAACGTGTAGTAACAAAAAAAAAAAAACTTGACACCTTCCATTTCCTCTTTTCCTTTTCTATTTTAGTGTGTCCTTTGGTTTTGGCTCCAACAGAGCAGCCCAATAATTGCCCACTGCCTCCAATGACAGTACATGATTCATGAAACAGGGAGTGACGGGAGATTGTAAATGACAGTAGAGCTTAGGTTATAAATATATTTAGATAACTCCATTAAATTCCAATCCTTAGATTTGATCCAGCCATTGAATGTAATGGAAAGAGGGGTTGAATTGTTAACCATGTTCTAATTAGGTTAATTACATAATTAAAATTATTTAATTAATTCGATAAAGTATTTATAAAATCTAATAAATTAAAAATTCATATTTACTTGTATATTACAATTTGATCAAAATAGAATATACAATTTTATAAAAGTAGTTTGAATGATTTCAAGGAGTGTGACAAACGGAGTATTTTTAAATTTAAGTAAAATTTATCTATTTAGCGAATTTTGTATTACAGAGAGGGTTAGCTCGGATGTGACATTTTCAATGTTTCAGACACAATGATATAGTTCGTTCTACGAACATAAGATGCTTGAGCAATTTTGAGCACGATCAAGACAAATTGGATTTAATCAAGTAACATCAAACCTTTAGCCCGATGTATTCATCCTGAATGATTAGGTGATGTGAGATCTTTTCTAGGTATTTATGACATTTTAAATGCACAGTGCTATCATTTTGTAAATGGACTTCATTTGAGCAAAGTAAGTGGTTGTCGAGACAACTATAATTTGATTTATGTAACATCTCAGTTGATGGTGGTTGTCATACTTGATCAAATCGATTGGGAGTCTGCTCAAGGAGATTTTGACGCTCTAGAAACATCAGTTAAATCTCTCCTATAAACGAGCAACGTTTAAGCTATTTTAAGCAATTTTTTTTTGCTTCTCATTGTGCCATGCAACACACAATGTGGACATTTTTCTCAGACAATTTTGACTCATCAGCAAATTCTGTTTATGGAAGGGCGATATTCTGTGTTAGTTTCATAATATGTTGCACTTTTTGAACAATATTTGTGTGACACTATCATTTTTTGCCACTATTGGTAAATTTGACTGGATTGAAGGTGGAGCAATATGAAGGTCAACAACAAATTTGTCTTTATTGCATGATATTTCCATATAATCAGTTCATATTTGCATGAAATCAAAAAATAAATTGATGGTGCTAACCATTCTTTACATGAGACCATACTTGACACCTCTGGCACTCACTATCCCCACATGGAACACCTCACTATCATAACATTAAGCCATCCTCAAAGAAAGCTAAAAACATCCAAGAGAGATTTCAATTACTCATGTCCTCATTGCTTTCAAAGTCAAGATGGCAGTCATCATCAGTAGAATAATTGTGATGCAACCATCTTTGCTAGATCATAATCTAAATAAGCACTCTTTAGTGACATCAAAACTGGCCTCAACTCAAACTAAAGAACCCCTAAGGCTCATTTCTATAAATAAGAAATTTTCAGCTCTTATGTACAAGCTAAAAATAAAAATGACTTCTGCAAAAAGCTCCCTTCGTCTGGGAAGAACTAGTCTTTTGTAGCTTCAACTAGATGAAACAAGAACCAGAAAACCTTCTAGAGCGGGCAAAAATTGTAAGACAGCATCATGCAAAGGAAGCAAAGGCAACAGCATTAGGCAACATCCACTTAACCTACACAAAATTACCAGCATGAAACAAGCATCATCACAAAACAACAATGATGACATAATATTGTTTATGTGTCAAACTGTGACTGTCAAGCATGGTCAGAAATAACACTACATAAAATAAGTACCTGAAAGCAGCGGGCAGCACTTTCACTCTTTATATCAATTGAAACAGCCCTTTGGTAGAGTTCCCTAGCAATGTTTATATTTCCTTCTTTCCATTCCATCCATCCCCATGCCTAAAAAAAGCCATCTAGCAAAATTAGGAAAGAAAATATGGCAATCAAAGAATCCATTGAAATTTTAAACATAGAGGTTTAACTCGCATTACAGCCAGAAGAAAATTAATAAAAAACTTAAATTGATCTAAGATTCAAGGTAACTTTATTATCTTCCCAGGCTTTTAGTACAACTTCTTTCATGAAGGAAATAAAAAAATGTGAAGAAAACGTAAAGCACCATTTGAAAGTAAGGAAACTTTTAGCTTCATGATTGAGTGAGCTTGTAAACTAGTCCTGCACAGAAAGCAAGTTATTCTATTCTCGCTAGCTAGCGCATGCAAAGCAGGAAAATCTTTAAACAAATATGTTACTCAAGAATAAAAAGGCATAACAAGATGTTCAAATACAACCTTTTTCATCTCGACTATATATAAAAAACACAAATATTGGATAAAATTTTCTTTTCCACATTTACCTTTGCAACTTTTTATCTATTTGAAAGAAACATTTGCTGATATTACTTCCACAGAAATATTGATGAAAGAAAAGAAAAAGAAATTTTTATTCGACATATGTCTGTTATATCTAGTCAATGCTAAATTATCTTCGACCTATCATTTGTAGGTCATATCATGATATTAAAAATAAGGGTGAGGTGCAAGCTGCAGTATGAGGTGAGGGATCACAATGACTCTGGGACAATGATACGGATTTGTATGGGACAAGTACCCTTGGATGACATGCGGTGATAAACAAAAGCTTGGTGTGCATGAACTTGATGTGGGAGGTAGTTGGCATGGCTAGCGGCTACAGGCTATGGGAGAAACAAGGGCAAGGGTGCAAAGGGGAAAGCAAAAAAGAGGGGGGAAGAGAAGGGATTCCTGGAGCATTGGCTGGGGCTGAGATAGATGTAGGTTTTGTATAATTTTATATTTTTATTATGGGGAACTTACATACATAGCACTTAAAAGAGATATTTACAAATATCACACTCAAATCTTAATATTTACATATACAACAACAACAACAACAACAAAGCCTTAATCCCACTACGTGGGGTCGGCCACATGAACCCTTTTTCTCCATTGCATCCTATTTAGTGTCATTTTTTCATTTAGTTCTAGTAAATTAAGATCATTTTTTATACAATAAGCCCAAGTCTTCCTAGGTCTACCTCTGCTTTTCTTAACACAAGTCGAATCTAAAACATCTACTCTGACAAACATCTACTCTGCTAATCGGATCATCAAATGGTCGACGTTTAATGTGACCAAAACTTGTTGACCAAACCAATATTTACATATAAAGCATATAAATCATCTAAAAAGCATAAAGATAACACTTTGTCCGTTACATTCCCAGTGCAAAAACGGATGAGTAAAAATCAATCAATAAGGATTAGGAAACCCATTTACATAAGACAAAATTATGGAAAAACTCATGAACTTTAAACCTTACAACTCTATCAAAATGGGCTCTTTTTTTAAAAAAAAAGTTATAACCTTGTGTTAGACTTGATTATTCATTCGTCTCGCCAAAAAATAAAAGACAATTTCATACATTTTATGTTCGATTTATTAAGAAATATCTTAAAGAGAAATTTAATTGAACAAATAACAAAATATAGATAAAATTTTTGTAATTTGATTTTATTAATGATAGGAAGCTAAGATTATAAAAGAGAAACTCAGTTTGATTCCATAAAGTTGTCATAAACGTAGAGTCGATCAATAACAGAAGCTGTAGATTAATTTATGCAAATAACATACTTTCGGCCAATGATTTTATTTGTTTATCGTCAATTTTGGAATGTTCTAAACTTTTTTCCCTACGCAGTTGACAATGTACGATTTCCTTAAGAGAGAATAGGCTTAGGTACCACAAAAGATTAATTATTTTCGTTTTTATTTCTTCCCATCAAAGAGAACTGCAAATTGGAAGTTATTATAACTACTCTCATGTTAATTTGGACCATAATTAATTAAAACTTAATTAATGTGTAAGTTACCATAGCAAATATATAGTTACAAGAACCAATATTCACCCACTTGGTCAAAATTTTATCTCGTATTAAGAAATAAATTCATATATCATTACAAGGTTCCTAAAATTGAGTATTATCTTTCATGTATCACATTGATTATATTTCATATGCACATGCATAGTTCATAATGAATAAACGCCATGATACCTATCACGATCTGACCCAGAGCTTGGAACCTGACCCGAGGCTTGAAATTAATCAAGACGAGAACAGACGGTTAGACAGTGAAAAATAAATTATTCTATAACTAACATTTTAAAATATGAAAAAGCCAAAAAATAAAAAAATAATTAAAGCAATATACTTAAAATTTACCTCATTTTTGGTAGTTCGCATCTTCTATAAACAGTTTCTTTTCTATTGCACTTCTTTTAACCAATTAATTAAACCTGAAAAAGTTAGTTTAAAACAATAGTAAGCTAAACAATACTAATAAATACTCCTACTCCTAAACTATAATAATTTAATGAAAATAGAGTCAATATGCATCACAATTAAACTATAAAAAAAATATAAAAGAATTTCGCAGTTTATACTATCTAATATTATCATTTAAGGTGATTTTAAACAGTCCATGTGTCTTATCATATAATTTACATGTCAATATCTTTTTAATTTGTACTGTACAAAATCATCATAGGAGCATCGTCTACACCTGTATCATTTAAGATACTTCAATATCAAAATCTTTTTCCATTTACATGCACAGGTACCTTAGCGTTGCTCCGCTAGTACTATAAAAGGGTGATTTTATATATTCAAACATGCACATACAAGCAGTCAAAATAGTAACTCTCATTCCTATTTTCTTTTCATACCATTCAATAACCTTAATTTGACATTTAAATGGCATGCACATATAAATAATATACACTCAATAAGATCAATTGAACTTAAAGAGCAAGTAAAATCTATCTAAGAAAGTCATAGAGTGAATCAGAATAAAAAGAAACCAAATATTACTATAATTTAAAAGTATAAGTATTCACCTCAATTATAGATAATTTGTTTGCTTTTGAACTTGCATCACCTCTTTTAAATTAACACCTATAAAATACAGCATATTTAATTATCAATTTGCTTAATAATGTTTTAATTTAATTATTTACATATAATTGTATTACATTATTTTAACTAAGATTTTAAATACTTAAACATTAAGTTTAATCATTACATTAACAAACACTTTTAGAAAATAGAAGTCTAACATTTCTAGCTGTCATCATCCTTTTACCGATCCTAAAATGAAACTTCTATAAATTGAATCCCGATTTAATTAAACCTTATAAATAATAATTAATGATTAATAATATAATAAAAATTAATCAACTAATATCATAAAACCCTTACCTCACGGTTCGGTTCCATTAACCCGAAAACAATAATTCAGCTTAAACTCTCATATGAGAGCAAGACCCGAGAAAGCTCCTCTCCCTTCTACGCTCAATGTTTGTCCTCTTCTTCTTCACGCAGAACAAAGCAGCACGAAGTATTTCCTATTCAATGAAGTTTGAATACTCATGAGGAGCTTCCTGCTCGACAGTAGCGACTTGTGATTCTTCTCTTTCTCGCATGAGATGCTCGACAATCATGCGCGCATGTACTTTGGTCTACTCCTTCAACATCGACACCAAGTGCCACACCCGATGTTACCTCTAGAGGAAACGAGCCTTCCTTCTTCCTCCTTTCTTCTGTACATGAGGCTCGATTTGAATGGGAGACATAGTGTACTCCTTTGGTCAAAGCAGCAAGCAGAGCCATTCCTTCAACGAATTCTCCTCCTCTCTCGTTCTCTCCTCACCATTCATTAGTTTGTTTGAAGTGTTCCTTCTTGCGACTCATAAAGAAGAAATAAAAATTTTCAACACTATTTGATTATTTATTTATTTATTAATATTATTATTTAATAATTATTACAATCTCCCCTGATTAAAATTTCGTCTTCAAAATTTGCAAAATCTATTCTAAGTCTCAATTCACTTCTGATTAAGCTGATAAAACTTATATTATCCATAATTTTTTTTTCACGAAATTTAAATCTAATTCAACAAGATGAAACATAAACATAATAAAATAAAAATCTAGCATAAGATAACATAACGAAACTTCTCCTATTAAGTGAAACAGGGTAACATCACATTTAAAGCAATGTAACAACAATAACACAACAAAAGCAAGGTAACATAACAATAACACCACATATCCTTTGATAAAGACACACTAAAATGAAACTCATATAACATGCAATAAAACATGAAACTGATCAATCCCTAGTACCATCAACATCAATAGTAGGTTCTTTAGGCTCTCTACTATTCAGAGAATAAACTCGAGTTTGAGCTGGCTGTCCTGATTGAACTTGAGTAGTAGCTGAAGCGACTCTATCCTTCTATGCCCACATGCAGTCTTCTATGAAGGAGATTCAACGGATTTATGTTCATCTGATGTTTTTTGGCCAAGTGAACGGCAATATCTAGCTATGTGATCAGGCTGGTGACACCAGTAGCATGTATGAGAGCACATCAAACATTCACCCTTATGTTGTTTCCACATTTGACACAAGTGACTACGGTACTATGAGAACTACCACAATTGAATATATTAGAACTGAACATGGGCTTCTTCATATTGAATCCTTCCGATTGATCCACATGCTCCCCTTCATCAACACTTTTCCTCTTACTTGTCTCCTTACGAATAAGCTAGAAATCAATTTCTACTTGTTTAGCCCGCTCTATTAACATTGAATATTCATCAATGTCTAAAGGCACCAATAGTTGCTTGATAGAACCTTTTAATCCTGAAAGAAATCTGTAGCACTTCTCTGTTGCAATAGCTATCAGTTGTGGGGCTAATATTGATAGTGCAGTGAACTCTATTTCATACTGTATAATTGTCTTTCCCTCTCCACCAACTTGATGAATGTATCTTGTATCTGTCTTTGATCGGATAGCCGTACAAACCACTCCCTAAA